TCATACGTTTACGAAATCCGACCGAAGATAGGAGGGCCTTTCGACGGATGTTAACGAATGCTGACCTTTCTGGGCGGCCATAACGTGAAGGAAAGAACAGTATTATTTCGCTTTTCTACGTTCTTCATCAATAATGGTCGATTACATCAAATCGTTTGGCAGGGAGCAATCACCACAACATAAACAAAGAGCAGTTTTACGCACCTTCGATGTACAAAGCTTCAATTTCTGTCTGGAAGGGAAGACCTAAAGAGACGACTGTACGAGCTAAGCTAGGTGGTCAAGTTTATACGAGTGATTGTGTTTCTGTCAATGATAGATGGATATAATTCGACGCTAAATACAGATCAGAGGTTGTGTGCTGGAGAAAAAACTTATTATTAGCTGCTCTTAAAATCTGGGTCGGTAACGACAATTTTCGGAAAATATCTGTTCGGAAGACGATTTGAGATCTAGAATTTTCGGAACATTTTTTGTAAAATTTCTTGCTTGCCTGCCTCTCCTAGGATTTTCGAACATCTAAAAAATGGTATAATTCCCATTTTTAACGGATTGTTACCCTTAAAAGGTCACCTAGAATTTTCGGGAGCCTTTTTTCTGGCTGAAATTTTCGAAAATGTAAGTTTTGATCCCTACCATTTTCGGATCACTAGACTTTCAGCTAGGAAATCCGAACAGATGAAAAATTTTTAGGGGGTAAAAATGTGCCTATATCTACCGTTTAAATACTAAAGTACGTTTAACAATGCTATCTTTAAGTGGTTTTGAACTATATTCTCGTTGGGTGCCCCTGATTTATATGGACACTTTTTTCGATAGACCTTTAGGCTTGTATTAACTACCAGAAAATTTGGATTAATGTTGTGGCGGCAATAATTGTTTTTCTCCCTGCAACCTACCTGTATTGATCTTAGTTACTTGAAATGTCTTTCAATGTTGGACTGTCACAAAGCAGTAGAAAAGAGACTTACTTTTTTAATTATATTTTGTTACAGGGTGCAAAGAAAGTCAGCTTTACAGCTTGCCTAGCATACACTAGCCTGAAAGCCATTTTGACTGATCCCAATTTTTTTTATGAATGGAACTGATTACAGTTCTTCTGTAATCTGAATTCCCTAAAAAACTTTACTTGCCGGCCAGACAAGTTAAAAACACAGTTCACTAGCCCAATCATAAAATCCAGTACCCCAGGGCTATTGCCTGGACACTACTCTGTCTACTCTCTTTGCATGCTGTTTAATATAATTTAGCTAGAACTTGAACCTTTAAATGCCTTTTTAAATAACACTTTTACTCAGAAATATGAGACAAACCTCCCGGATGAAATTAATAAAATACCTGTACAAGTGACTGGATAAAGTTGTGTACTATATGTTGTCATTTTTGCATAAACAATACAGGAATGATTATCCTTACGACTAATTATTACGTGTATTAAATTGTCTAAAGTAATTAAATGTATAAATTAGAGGGCTGGAGAAGAAATTAATGGGTCTTAAGTCACCGTGGGAGTTTTTTTGTGGGGGGTGGGGTGGGTCTGTGGCTAATATTATTGCACATGGGTTATTACACACTTTATGAGAAATCATGCATTCTTGAAATAGAAAACTAAAAAAGTAATAACTACAAGACAATTTGAACCTCTTAAAGATTTGAATGATTTAAAGTGACTTAAGGCAACTAAAGGCGACCCAAGGCGACTTTACGCGACTTAAGGCGATTTTAGGCGACTTTGGGCGACGTTAGGCGACTTAAGGTCCCAGAGTAGGCCTTTCAAACGTTAGTAGAGGTGAGAAATTACGCGAAGTCTGAATCATTGTCGAAGGTTCAAGGCCGAGAAAGATTGATTTTCCACGTACACGTAACTACTTACATCGATTTTTCAAATATATAAAATGATTATTTGCTCGCCAGTGTATTTGATTCATTTCTCTTGTTATTTTGGTAAACGAAAGCGATTCCTCCCGCCCGGCGCCTACGCGTGTTCATGTTCCTTTGGATACTGTTTTTAACCAAATATGATAAAATATTGTGAAAGGATGAGTAAAAAAAAAGAGGTTTTCAGTAAAAGATCAAGGATCGAATAAAACACTAGGCAAGATTGAGCAGATTTCTAGATGTATCCGACGCGTACATTTAATTTCAGGTTGAGATAAACACTTTTCAAACTTGCAAAACTAGTGTCCAGGTCAGCGCGGTCCCATAGCTGACCGTGTCCCTTTAAATCGATGTTCAAGTAAAGCAAACTAAAGTAACGAACCATTTAAATGGAATATTTTGTTCGAAATTGCGTTTTACATCCATCAATGCAGAATAAACATAGTTACCTAGAGCATGAAATGAAATATTTTTGTAAAGGCATTGGCTAAGGAGCCAAAAAGAGTGGTGGCCATGTGAACACACCCGTTTTTTCAAGTACCCAAGCTGGAATTCGGGCACGGTGCCGGTGCCCGGGTACAAGGACGAGCTCGGGTACAAATTAGGCACCGGTAAAAAAATTGTAACTTGACATTTCTTTACCCACGGAGCATTTAGGAGTTCTCAAGAAGTCGTCGAAACGTGTCCGTGCGTTCCAGATCGAAATGGAATTTGGAAGTGTTTATTTTTGAGGAGAGGGAAAACCGAAATACACGGAGAAAAACCTCTCGGAGCAAGGACGAGAACCAACAACAATCTCAACCCACATACATGTATGGCGTCGACACCAGGATTCGAACTCGGACCACATTGGTGGGAGGCGAGTGCTCTCACCACTGCGCCACTCCGCATTTTTGTTAGTTCTGGAGCAGTCCACTGCTTTGTAGCCGCTGCTAAGCTTAAGTTTCAAACTGGCCACTGACCGAGTTAAGAGTGGTTGTCAGAGAAAACCGCGCAAAATGTTAAAAATGTCAATGGAAAGGGGTCAACAGAATAAGTTCATACTAACATCATAGATAGGTCTGGTGGAGTAATAGACAAATATACCAAACATAGGTTCTTCACTGCCCTTGTATTAGAGATACGAGCATCACTTTATTCGACCCCCTCGGACACCATATTTATAAGCAAATTTTCACCATTTTCTGAAACTCACAGAACCCGCAAAATTTAACGAGCGAAGTTTATTTTTTGTATGCGATACAACGCATCGCAGAGCTACTTTCTAAAACCATAAGATTTGTTTAGTAGCCACGGACAAGACTAAAATTTTCTTATTTTATCTGACCTAAACTCAATGTCTTCAAACGAGCAAAAAATCGGGCATTTTTGAATTGATTTACAGCGCACAACTAAAACGACAGAACAACTCTGGCAGAGTTGCAGTCTACTATCATCCATGTAACCAAAACACTAATAATCATTTTGGGCCATTGAAACAGGAAGAAATTAGAAAACTCACATTTGTTATAGTTTCCCAGCTTTTTCTTGCAAACAGGCCGATCCTTTCGTGTTTGTTGTAAGTCCTCTTCGTGAATTTTCTTTCATATTTCGCTGTAAAGTATATTCAGCAGCTGGAGTAAATATCAAAAAGCTCGAAATACTGCCTAGGTTACATTTTGAAAGGGCAAAAAGTGCTGAACGATAGGATGAAACTAGAAAATAACAAAGCGACACCGTCTTGAAAATTCAGCACTCAGGAGGGATGGCTCTAGTAGTTGCGTTCGATATCCACAATACGGACAAAAATTGCAAATTTTTTACGACTCCGTTGTCTCGCAATTCCCAAAAGAGACTTGAGCACATAGAAAACCAAGCCTAATATAGAAATGTTACCAGGAAGCCTCGGATTCGTGTTAGAATTTTTCTTTATCGAACGTGGGCTATTACGAACTATTACGAGGAGCCTATGGGCTCCCGTAATTACCAATAAGATAAGAAAAGAAAAAACAAACAGACAAGCTGATCAGCGACCTATTTTAGTCTTATTTCTTCTTCAATTACTTCTTTTCGTTGAATTTAGCTCGTTTTTCTATCAAAGGAAAGCCTGATCGCAGGTTAATTGGTGATTAGCTGGCATTACTTCATTCCCTCCTCATTTCGAGGTGTCCCGTGAATGTAGATAATATTAAAGATCTATTTTGTCTGTTTATGAATCACTTAACTTCGCTCTCACGCGAGCTAGCTAGACTTGCTATATATCAACCTCGCGAGTTTCTAAGCGTGCGGCCTAACTACGGGCAGTGGATATTGCTTGCTGTAAAATAAACAGTTGAATCGGCGTGCGGAGCGGGCATTTTACACCGCAAAGCGGCCAAGAGAGCCAGCGGACGAAGTACTTTTTTGAAAGTAAGCTTTCTAACTGATGATCTCATCGCTGTCACTACGCATTTCCATAAGGTAATAGACTGTTGACAAGAGATGTCAAAATAAACCATTCATAGGGTTTACCAGAATCTGGTATACCGGAAGGATCCGGAGGCAGCTTTTGTTAAAAAGTACCATTACAGGAGTTCCTACGACTCTCACTCCGTACCCCTTCCCCTCATTGTTTTTCCTGCTCACTTCTTTTTCAGTATGCTCTTTGCACGGTCCACACAAGATAACGCCACGGGTCCGGACGAATTTTTGGCCTGTGCAACCCGTTTAGAGGGAACGTGCAAATTCTCTTACAGATTGCAGTACTGTTTGCAGCTCAAAAACTTCACGGTTCCGCGGGTCGCATGTAAAGAATAGGCGGATCCGTGCAAGTTTTTGGCCGTTCAAAAATTTGCAAAAGGGGTCTGAATGTTAACTCGAGTTGGTACCTTTTCCATCACATTAATCATTGATAGAAGTCGTACACCTGGAAGCTTACAGCCACTGGGTTCCTTTTTGTTTACTGGTGTAGCCGTTAAAGAATTGACATTTCTCAAACTCATTAATAATTCATCAAGTGATAAACCAATTGCGTGCCCGCATTTAGGTCACATGGATGCACCTTGATACCGCGGTAAAGAACAGCGTGTTTGGATATCCAAACACGTGTGTTTGCAAATCAATTAGAAAAAGCAATACACAACTTAAACAAAGCTTTATTTCTTCTATTCTTTGCTGTTTACATTTACGTCTTTCATTTCTGCGTCTAAGAATCGACGAAAAATAGCAAACCTGAAAAGTAGTAAATAATAAATTTCGTAAACATTCTAAGTTTCTACAGGGTGTCCCAAAAGTTCGTTCCTCTACTTTATAAGTCTGTATTTCAGTACGATTGAACTTGGTAAGGAAATCATTTCAACAAAAGTTGTGTCTTTCAATACAATTTGCCATCTTTTGACTCGAATATTCGATCTGTGTACTTCCGCGCCAAAGGTGCGCGTGCGCGAGTATATTTTCCAGCCACATATTTTTTGTGTTTCATAGCCCGAATTGCTCGAACTCCTTCCTTGTTTTTTGTGAATATCACGAAAGATAAACCCCCTTAACGCAAAAACGTTCAGCTGCGTGAGAGCATAAGGCTGTATACTTCGATTTACTGGCTTATCTGTTGTAGAAATTGCTAAAAAACTGGGAAAATTCGAATATTGGGTGGTAGAATGATCATCGAGAAATGAAGGTCTTGAAGGCAAGAAACTAAGGGGAAGACCTAAAGCCCTGAATAAAGCAGCTAAAATATTTTTAAAGAAGGCTAGATACAAAATAGGAGACTCGACAAGGAAGCTCAGTCTCACATATTTAGCAAACCAAATAAAAGGGCCGTGAAAAGCTGTTTAAAATGTTTAAAATTAGAGGCCGCTGAGATGGCAAAAAATCCTCTGCTTAGTCTGTTAATTAACGCCCGGCTCGTTTCAAATTTGTAAAGAAGTACGAAAGCCTTGCTGTGGAAGGGGGCCGGGATGATTATCTTTTTTAGATGAATGCCCAAAATATATTTTTTTTTCAGCTGCCTAAACTAAACAAATTTTGTTTGGGAGTTGAACTGGATCCTGCGCACCAGGTGATAAAAAAGCTCTAAATGGATCATTTGTGGGTCTACACGCTGTATCCCATGCCGCAACGGCTACAGAATGTGATAAAAAAAAACAAAAAGGGCATGCCAGTTACTGAAATTCTGAATACATGTATTTGATAGAGAAATAAACATCTTCTAGCAATTTCGTGTAAAAATATATTTTTGATCAAAAGTTATAGTGCATGAAATTAGAGGAACGAACTTTTGGGACACCCTGTATATCACATAAAGCACACTGGATTAAAGTATAACTTCTCCAAACTCACCTCTTATCGCTGCTGTCTAAAGGATTCAAAGCATTCCCTCCATTTACGTCCTCCAAATACCGCTTTAAGCCACAAACAATTCCATACAAGGAACGAGACGGATAGCGACCACCGTTCTTATTAGCAATTTCTTGGACGAATTTTGTGAGCCAATAGTTAAGGGAAAGACTATCCAGGTCCTCCAACTTCTCTTCGAGACTTTGCACACGGTGAACATCATAATCTTTAAACACGCTTCCCGCGTCAAGTATACAGAATTTTTGCTCGCGCGCTGCTTGCCAAGTTCTGAAAACGTCAACGGCCCACTTGTCTTTATACCGTGTGCTTTTAAGCTTGGACTGTACAAGCAAAGAATCTTCTTGCACACTTTTGGGCGGTCGAAACCGGCAAGATTCATCCTCAGCTAACCCGTCCATGTTTCGAACTAGCAGAACGCCACTGAATGCAAATTGTGACTACTTGAAATAAACAAGCTTCAGTTGTGAAAAACACGGACATTATCATCACAAACTATGCCCTGATTAAACAAAAGAAGGCAAAAATCACATGTTTATGTGATTTTTGCTTTCTTTTGTTCTTCTGTTTTCTTTTTTTCTTTTGTTTGCTATTAGGCGCCGATTGAGAAGCCATTTCAAAAACTCGTGCTTCGTGTTTTACCGGTGTTTCCAAACACTCAGTTTTCTCGTGTGTGGAAACCCTGGTAAAACACGAAGCACGAGTTTTTGAAATATTACCTCCTATACCTCTTCGTCACTGGATTTGTCAATAACACTCTCACTATGGTGTTTAACATAAGCAGAATCACGTTCACAGTCCTCACATTTAGAGTTATTGTCACGGTCTTGCCTTAAATTTAGAGGAGGTAATGATGACAGAAATCCGAGAATTTATTCATCTCCTACGGAGGTAATTTCCAAACCCATTTCGTTTGTTCATCCTTTCCACGGCGCTGTTGCAAAAAATGAGCGCGCGAGTCACACGAGATGGCACAAAATGTGCTAAACGTAGCACATTTAATGGCTATCAGTATATTTCGATGAAATCAACCCCATCCCTGGAAAAGGTATCCAGTTACGGTCTACTACCCCGATTTATATATATATATGGCTCCTGGTAGAGTATAAAAACGTAATTTTGTGCAATTTCGCAGCGTTATTAGCGTTGCTAGATAACTCTGTCCGTCATCAGGAGCCCGTAAACCACAATTAAAACCAAAAAATGTACGAGTAAAGACTACACGTCAATATTAATATTATTCTTGTAAAAATTCTAGTATGAGCCATTAAAATTGTTGAATGACCTTCTTCACCTCAGACACTCGTGTCAGTCAAGTGTGAATCGACGTCCACCATTTTGAATTTTGTTCAAAAAAACCCTCTGACCTAGTAGCCCGGCTGCATCTTGCGCCCATCATCTGCCCCCAAGGGGTGAGGATCTGGCTCCTTTTTCATAGGAAATTCATAAATTATCTACTAAAACACTGTGCAATATGAAAGCAAGGCCAATTTAAGCATGCACTAAAAGCTGCTCAGATATCTCAGAATTGGAAGAAAACTAGTAAGAGAAATTGCTCAAAAATTATGCAAAANGGGGGGGGGGGGAAGGGGTTGGGAGGCTACTCAATAAAGCTTTGTTCGGAGAGGCTTCACCTTGAGGTCCAGTCCCTTACCCTTATATAAACTATTTTTAACAAAAGGTACCCCTTTCGTATATCTTCCATTGAAAAGTTGTACCCTTTTCATATATCTGCTTCGTGAGAATAAATCGGTAAGAAAGGAGGTCTTCCGGTCATTTTCGCGTAACCATTAACTGAATTAACATGTAAATGATATTGCCATAAGGCATGTTTCTTCGAAGCATTTTAATAAAATACCCTTTAAAATACTTAATGAAAGATTTTCCTCTGCTTTCACATACTTCAACTTGTAATTTTCCTGCCCTTTGTTACACCTGATGCTTGAAAGAGGTGCCCTTAGGCGGAAGCTTTCTGGGCTATGAAAAGTGCATCATCAAATCATGAACAGGAGATGAGTGGACCTTCGGACATGGACGGTGATTGAAGACTGACGCAAAAATAGATAATACAATAAAGAGTCCAAAGAAACGCTAAGACTTATACGGGACAACTCAAAATGAAGTGAATGAAGAGCCATTGAAGACTGAATAAAGTAATGCCAATTGGCCTGTTCGCCACACCCCATCACTCCGCCAAAAAAAAAAAAACGACAACACAAAACAAGCTAAATTTAACTAACAGTAGTAATTGAAGAAGAAATAGGACTGTAATAGGTCGCTGATAAGGCGGCGGTTTGTTTTTGGTTTTTTAGCCATTTGGTAATTTATCATCTTGTGGACAAGGCAGCTACCAGTGCCAGCCCCTCCTGAGTGCTGAATTTTCAAGATGGCGTCGCTTTGTTATTTTCTAGTTTCCTCCTATCGTTCAGCACTTTTTGCCCTTTCAAAATGTAACCTAGGCAGTATTTCGAGCTTTTTGATATTTCCTCCAGCTGTTCAACATACTTTACAGCGAAATATGAAAGAAAATTCACGAAGAGGACTTAAAACAAACACGAAAGGATCGGCCTGTTTGCAAGAAAAAGCTTGGAAACTATAACGAATGTGAGTTTTCTAATTTCTTCCTGTTTCAATGGCCCAAAATGATTATTAGTGTTTTGGTTACATGGATGATAGTAGACTGCAATTTGGCTGTCAGAGTNGCCAAAAAAAAAAAAACGACAACACAAAACAAGCTAAATTTAACTAACAGTAGTAATTGAAGAAGAAATAGGACTGTAATAGGTCGCTGATAAGGCGGCGGTTTGTTTTTGGTTTTTTAGCCATTTGGTAATTTATCATCTTGTGGACAAGGCAGCTACCAGTGCCAGCCCCTCCTGAGTGCTGAATTTTCAAGATGGCGTCGCTTTGTTATTTTCTAGTTTCCTCCTATCGTTCAGCACTTTTTGCCCTTTCAAAATGTAACCTAGGCAGTATTTCGAGCTTTTTGATATTTCCTCCAGCTGTTCAACATACTTTACAGCGAAATATGAAAGAAAATTCACGAAGAGGACTTAAAACAAACACGAAAGGATCGGCCTGTTTGCAAGAAAAAGCTTGGAAACTATAACGAATGTGAGTTTTCTAATTTCTTCCTGTTTCAATGGCCCAAAATGATTATTAGTGTTTTGGTTACATGGATGATAGTAGACTGCAATTTGGCTGTCAGAGTTGTTCTGTCGTTTTAGTTGTGCGCTGTAAATCAATTCAAAAATGCCCGATTTTTTGCTCGTTTGCAGACACTGAGTTTAGGTCAGACAAAATAAGAAAATTTTAGTCTTGTCCGTGGCTACTAAACAAATCTTATGGTTTTAGAATGTAGTTCTGTCATGTGTTGTATCGCATACAAAAAATAAACTTCGCTCGCTAAATTTTGCGGGTTCTGTGAGTTTTAGAAAATGGTGATAATTTGCTAATAAAAATGGCGTCCGAGGGGGTCGAATGAAAGTACTAGTATCTCTAATACAAGAGCAGTAGAGAACCTATGTTTGGTATATTTGTCCAATACTCCACCAGATCTATCTATGATGTTAGTATGAACTTATTCTGTTGACCTCCTTCCGTTGACATTTTAACATTTTGCCCGGTTTTCTCTGGCAACCAAAAAATTACAGCGTCTTGTCAAACAGATATATCTCTAAGCACCATATCAAACGTTACAAAAAACAAAAATGAACTTTGAAGAACCATTAGCGGCTAACAATTGTAAAGCCGTTTAAATCTTCTTCAAGTTTGCCCATCCGTTTCTCCTTTTGTATTTCCTGGGTTATCCATATCGACAATTTTTCATGTTTTTTCAGATGTTTTGAGCGGTTTATTTTATGTTTTACTCAGTATGGTGATGGTTCCCACTGTTTGAATTTTGATTAATTTAGTGACACAGCTACTTTAATTACCCATTCGCTCCTGGAGATTTTGCCGAAAAACGCGTTTTGAAGCTAGTCGAGTGGTTTTCTGGTCATTATCGTGCTGTAAAGAGCTAAAACGTACCACAAACCGGTTTACAGGTCGTACACTTCACGGCCTTCTGATCCAGATGCAAAATATCAGCTTGCGAAGTTCGGGCATGCGCAGAAAGCAAAATTTTAAATTTAAAAAGTGACACAGCAGTCTTGACTTTTACTTTTCGCTTTCTCTCCTCCCCTCTTTTTTCGCTTTTCTTGCCTCCTTTTTTTTTTCTCTTGCTGGGCATTTTGTAGGCTTCGTTTTTCTGGGAAGAGTTTTTAGGAAAGCTTTTAGGATCTTAGGATTAGGTCAAAGGAAAGGTAGGTGAGCAATGGAACAAGATTTTCATGGAGATTTTCAGGTCAATGTCACATGGTTTTTTGCTTCTTTCTCCGGTATCCTTGACTGAATTGTGTTCATTCTGGTATGGTTTGAAAGATCTCTTCACTCTGCACAAGTTAGCAGACAAAGTTGTCCTTGACCGTTAAAGTGCCCATCACCTAAAATTTTATATTTTCTTATCTAAAACTATACCTTATTAACGTGGTCACGTGTCCCTTAAAGTACGTCATATGACGCTATACTCCGAGAGAAGACTAAGACGAATGGTGTGCAAAAATGGCGGCAAATTTGAACGTTTTTAAAAAATTATAAAAAAATCGTCTTTGGTTCAATTCGCAAAATTTTTTCGCAGAAGTTATTTTAATAAGGTGTAGTTTCAGATAAGAAAATAATAAATTTTAGGTGATGAGCACTTTAAAACTGATGACGTCACAAAGGGTAGAAAGGACGCGGATCCGCACGGGCGGTTACAGGCGGTTCAGGGGCGAATGGGTTAACTATTCCTTTGTGATCAGATATTTCAATCTTTTCTTTTTTATTTCATTGCAAAATTCGAATCAATCTGGGTTTCTGGGAAACTGCCCACCTTCCCCTCCCCTGTGCCAACATTATCACTTACTTCTCACTTAGGGCAAAATGTTGGCTTAGGGGAGGGGTAGGTGGGCAGTTTCCCAAAAACCTAAATTGAACTCAAAATTCTACAGTTAGCAAACCCAGGAGTATCCCGGTGGTTTACATATCTATTTGTGCTGCCCTCGTTGTGCTGCTGTTGGGTGAAGCTATTTTCATCTGGTGCTACTGCAGAAGGCGAAAAAAGGAGGCTTATGGGTTTGTAAAGTTCTACGTGCTTACCGCATAAAACAGGAGCCCATAACCCGGAGCGAGCAGCTTCCATGCGCTTGTGTGACGGCGTTTCCACGGACCAGTTTATTTTTAGAACGGTTTTGGCGCGAATTTTGGATATCTTTTAAATTTCACAAAACCAGTCAGCAAAACCTACAGACCTAAAAATGATATTTTCTGCCTTTTAATACATTTACTTTTCCTTTTTGACATCTTATACTTCGAATGCGCTCATAGATATGGTGGAGATTTTATTTTCGCAGGAGAAAATGCCCTAAAATGTGTCTAAAAATAAACTGGTCCGTTCAAACGCCGTGATATAGGCCTAGTATGGGAGTTGCAGGCTCCGGGTTATGGGCTCCTGTTAAAAACATGCTAAAATTACGGCAGCTATGTTTACATAATGTAGTACCTTATTGATACTTAATTTCGAGGGTACTTGAATTCGAGATTTTGGCGAGGCAGTATTTCGCAGGGTTTTATTTTCGCGATTTCAATAGGCAACTATGAAAAAGGGCGTTTAATTTCGCGATTCACCCGTTCTCGACTATATAATATTTTTCATGAACTATTTTTCATGAATTTGTCTGAACTATTAAAAATTTCTAGGTAATGGATTTGTACTAATCTTAGATCAAGATGATAGTTAGGTTCCCTACCGGCATATGTGAAATCTTTACAAATTAACGTAACGTTTTATGGAACTTACCTGTAAAACCAGTTAACAACTTGGGTATGAGTCGATACATATCCTGCTGCATATGTTGGTGTTACTACAAGTTGATAATTTTTTTCTGGGATTTTAGTTCGCGTGTTTAAATTTCGCGAGGATTTTTATTCGCGGGTCTTTAATTCCGCCATTTTTCTACAATCGCGAAAAACACGAAATTTAAATCTCGTACCCAGATCTCAATCTGTCTTCCGCTAAACCATTGGCCGTGGGAAATCTGGGTACGAGATTAGCTGATTGCAAAAGAAAGAGTGTTTTATTGTCTTCCTTTTTTTTTTCAGATCATATCTTTCACAGCGATCGATCAATCCCCTGGACGAGTGGGAAATTCTTCGCGAGCAAATAGAATACGACGGGGAGCTGGGGCGAGGAGCGTTCGGTGTGGTTTACAAAGCAATGCTTTGGGAAAGAGTTGGGATAGAGGTGTTTAGCACAGAGATTTCAAAACGGAAACTGTTATCCAGCAAGACGGAGCCTCGGGTGGTTGCTGTCAAGGTTTTACTTGGTGAGACTAACAACGAAATTAATGCATGACCATTCAAATAATAATAAAAAAATGTTTTCATTTTCTCGTTATATTACCGGCTCTAGGCAGGTGTTTCGTAATTACTACTTATGCCCTAGATGCAAGAACCGAGTTGCAACATTTCTAAACGAATAAGTTTATTTTGAAGCCAAAGCTCTGGAACTGGTGCTTATTACGACGCACAACATTATTCGAGTGATTTGTTATATAGATGAAACTTTTGAACCTGGAAATTCATTAAACCTGGCAGTAACGGCGGTCGTCGGTCAACATTAGCGGGTAACAGTCCACTGTTACCCTCGGACGTCATAGATTTTGCAATATTGCCCGCTGAGAGATTTTGGCGGGAAACAGTTTCATTGCTACAGATGTCCTTGACCTCGAAGTAACCAATGAGAGCGCGCGCTTTTAAAAAAATTCCAGCTATATAACAATATACACATAATGTCAGATCCCGAGGGAAACAGTTATTTTTTGTTTTCCCGAGAGTCCTGTTGTTTTCGGAGACGGAGTCGAGGGAAATATCAGGACTCGAGGGAAAACAAAACCTAACTGGTTTTCCGAGGGACCTGACATTAAGTGTTTTGTTATATTTCTAGCCTTTCACTTAAACAGCGACAAAAGAATAACCGATAACCGGAGCGAATCAAAACAGTCGACTCGGTTCATATAAGAACACAAATTTAATTCTCAAAACCACTGAATGAATGATTTGCAATGTACTTTCCTCATATTATCTGCATCTTTTTCCTCCCCTAGCCGCTGTTTCTCTTCAGGGGTAACTTCGAAAATCGTTGTTTTTAGCTTGAGGCTTCATGGTTGTGTTGTGGGCTCTTGTTGTGTGAAAACTAGTAGCGTTTTTCCCCGCCTCCTTTCACGCCACTTTCCACCATGCTTTGATCACGTGCTGTAATGTATCCCAAGCGGAGAACTATTGCTTAAATGTATCACGATCGGATACATTTGGTTTTTGTCAACGCCATATGACCAAGAATCAACCAATGGCAGTCCCTGTTTAGTTGAGTGAAAGTCTAGGAATATAACAATGGACGTTGTCACTCAACTAAACAGGGACTGCCATTGGTTGATTCTTGGTCACGTGGCCTTGACTAAAATCAAATGTATCCCGACTGTGATACAATAAGCAATGTACCCCGCTCGGGCTACACTACAGCACGTGATCAAAGCATGGTAGAAAGTGGTGTGACAGAAGGCGGGAAAAACACTGCCAGTTTTCTTTTTCGTGAATGAACACAACAACTTGAACACAAACACGAAGCCTCAAGCTAAAGAGCAACGATTTTTAAACTCATCCCAGAAGAGAAACATCAGTGGAGGAAAAAGATGCATATAATATAAGGAAAGTACTTTGTAAATCATTCATTCAATGGTTTTAAGAATTAAATTTGTGTTGTTTAAAGTACCGAGTGGGCTGTTTTGGTTCGCTCCGGTTATTCTTTTGTAAACTGGGTTCAGTTAACTTTCGCAAAGACTGCTGGGACTGTTACTGGGAACGGGAAAAAATGGCCAATAGCTGACCTGCGTGTGCGCGTCCCCAATAACGATCCCAGAAGCCTTTGCGAAAGCTAACTCGGCCTAGTCTCCTCCCCATTTCTAAAGTGGAAGTCGAATTTAACAGAAAAAGTACCGCGCCAATACGTTTTGATGTGTTTAGATAATCCTAGCGCAGCACAGAAAGAAGAATTCCAGTTTGAGATCGAGCAGATGAAGCAGTTGGGTTCACATCCGAACGTTGTTTCCTTGGTTGGTTGCTGCACGCTTCAGGAGGAAAAGTTCCTGGTGATAGAGTATGTTCCTTTTGGGGATCTGCTGACCTGGTTACGCTGTAGAAGGAACAGGGTGAGAAAATGAAGAAAATTCTACAATGTACTTTGAACTAGGGTGTACTGAAGAAAAAAAAAGGAAAATGATTCGCCTCTTTAGAAACGAGAAGGGGCATGCCCGGTTTTCCCCTTTTTCGATTGCAAAATATTAAGTATTTTCGCGTTATTTTCCCCTTCTTTCTCCCGCTTCCCACCCTATTACAGCACTCGCCTCCCGCCCTTTCCTCTTCCGCTTTCCGTACCCCGCCTGCCCCCTATTCTCCTGGGTTCGCACCACACTTGTCCTCCTCAATTTTTAGCTCCGAATTCTCATTTCAGAACGATATGGAGCTAGAAGCTTTAGCTTGGACCCATTTGTTAATAACAAGTACGTTTTGTTGTGTGAACAAAGTATGACGCTATACGTAGCATTACAGTAGCCAAAGCGAGGTGTTTTCACTTTTTGATGTTGCTGAATCTTGCAGATCTACACACGCCAAACCTCCAAGAAGATTTACGACGACAAAGTGGGTTTGAAAGATGACGGAAACGCCAAAAATCAGGTAGAGGTAAACTAAACGCTATGTTCAAATGGTCTTAAAATTGCAGTCAGAAGTTTTAAGCTTATGTGTAACTAAATCTCATTCTTTGATACCAATAAGTAACATGTCCAGGAGGACAATAAAACGGTTTTTGTATACGATAAGCATGGCTTAGCCTGTAGAGTGTCGAGTCAGTGAGTGGCTTAGACAGACCATTGGGGCTTATCATGTTGACAGTGCCATATAAAATCCATTTTCGCGAGCATCTATTCGGATCCTACAGTACCATCATGTACATAATCTAAGAGTATAATAGCGGAGCTCCTTGCGCGCCCGAAGCGCGCGCGAGCGGAGCACCATAACTAAGATAATTTGGTAAACTATCCATCCGAGAAATTTTGGTTATGACGTCAGTTTACGTCCGTCCGTACGGACTTTCCGGGTAGTAGAAAGTAGTCCGCATGGAATCTTGGGGTAGGGGAAAGTAGAGATTTTTCAGCGGGAAATCGCATGGCGCAACGTCGCGCAATTATATCGCGCAACTGGTTTTGAAAAAGAAATTTCAAAGCAACTTAGCAAAAGATTTTTCGACAGAGCCTTTATAACTTTTTATTACAATTTACAAAAGCTATTATGTCAACAAACAACAGCAGAGAAAATTTAGTGTGTAGACGACAGGTTTTAAGCAGAGAGCAAAGACAAGGTGAACGGCAGAGAGCAAGAGTCAACACGCGTAGAGCAAGCGAAGATGATCGCCAAAGAGAGCGCATTAACAGTAGAAGAAGAAGACAAAATTTTAGCGAAGAAAGTCGGCAAGTAGAAAGAGTCAGGTGTACCTTAGTCGGGAAAGATCGAAGCGACTCTGCTAGCAGGGTACAGAAGGTGTTATTACCATTCGAGATGCAGCTCCTATGGCCCCGCGCTATTAACATTTTGTTTTCAAACTGATCTCGGACGCGAAAATTCAGCCACTCATTTAAAAATACAAGAAGGGAAGACAGAGGCTTTTCACTTTTCTCACCATAGTCACGCGTTGATCACGTTCTACGTCCAATTTTTATGCTCTGATTGGTCAAAATTTGACAGGTGAGTTCATGCAGAAAATTTATACAGCATCTTGAAACTTGTTTACTTTGACAGCTGAAGCTGACAGAGTTTTTTGTCAACTTGTGATGTTTTGTTTACAAAGCAATGCTTTGGGAAAGAGTTGGGATAGAGGTGTTTAGCACAGAGATTTCAAAACGGAAACTGTTATCCAGCAAGACGGAGCCTCGGGTGGTTGCTGTCAAGGTTTTACTTGGTGAGACTAACAACGAAATTAATGCATGACCATTCAAATAATAATAAAAAAATGTTTTCATTTTCTCGTTATATTACCGGCTCTAGGCAGGTGTTTCGTAATTACTACTTATGCCCTAGATGCAAGAACCGAGTTGCAACATTTCTAAACGAATAAGTTTATTTTGAAGCCAAAGCTCTGGAACTGGTGCTTATTACGACGCACAACATTATTCGAGTGATTTGTTATATAGATGAAACTTTTGAACCTGGAAATTCATTAAACCTGGCAGTAACGGCGGTCGTCGGTCAACATTAGCGGGTAACAGTCCACTGTTACCCTCGGACGTCATAGATTTTGCAATATTGCCCGCTGAGAGATTTTGGCGGGAAACAGTTTCATTGCTACAGATGTCCTTGACCTCGAAGTAACCAATGAGAGCGCGCGCTTTTAAAAAAATTCCAGCTATATAACAATATACACATAATGTCAGATCCCGAGGGAAACAGTTATTTTTTGTTTTCCCGAGAGTCCTGTTGTTTTCGGAGACGGAGTCGAGGGAAATATCAGGACTCGAGGGAAAACAAAACCTAACTGGTTTTCCGAGGGACCTGACATTAAGTGTTTTGTTATATTTCTAGCCTTTCACTTAAACAGCGACAAAAGAATAACCGATAACCGGAGCGAATCAAAACAGTCGACTCGGTTCATATAAGAACACAAATTTAATTCTCAAAACCACTGAATGAATGATTTGCAATGTACTTTCCTCATATTATCTGCATCTTTTTCCTCCCCTAGCCGCTGTTTCTCTTCAGGGGTAACTTCGAAAATCGTTGTTTTTAGCTTGAGGCTTCATGGTTGTGTTGTGGGCTCTTGTTGTGTGAAAACTAGTAGCGTTTTTCCCCGCCTCCTTTCACGCCACTTTCCACCATGCTTTGATCACGTGCTGTAATGTATCCCAAGCGGAGAACTATTGCTTAAATGTATCACGATCGGATACATTTGGTTTTTGTCAACGCCATATGACCAAGAATCAACCAATGGCAGTCCCTGTTTAGTTGAGTGAAAGTCTAGGAATATAACAATGGACGTTGTCACTCAACTAAACAGGGACTGCCATTGGTTGATTCTTGGTCACGTGGCCTTGACTAAAATCAAATGTATCCCGACTGTGATACAATAAGCAATGTACCCCGCTCGGGCTACACTACAGCACGTGATCAAAGCATGGTAGAAAGTGGTGTGACAGAAGGCGGGAAAAACACTGCCAGTTTTCTTTTTCGTGAATGAACACAACAACTTGAACACAAACACGAAGCCTCAAGCTAAAGAGCAACGATTTTTAAACTCATCCCAGAAGAGAAACATCAGTGGAGGAAAAAGATGCATATAATATAAGGAAAGTACTTTGTAAATCATTCATTCAATGGTTTTAAGAATTAAATTTGTGTTGTTTAAAGTACCGAGTGGGCTGTTTTGGTTCGCTCCGGTTATTCTTTTGTAAACTGGGTTCAGTTAACTTTCGCAAAGACTGCTGGGACTGTTACTGGGAACGGGAAAAAATGGCCAATAGCTGACCTGCGTGTGCGCGTCCCCAATAACGATCCCAGAAGCCTTTGCGAAAGCTAACTCGGCCTAGTCTCCTCCCCATTTCTAAAGTGGAAGTCGAATTTAACAGAAAAAGTACCGCGCCAATACGTTTTGATGTGTTTAGATAATCCTAGCGCAGCACAGAAAGAAGAATTCCAGTTTGAGATCGAGCAGATGAAGCAGTTGGGTTCACATCCGAACGTTGTTTCCTTGGTTGGTTGCTGCACGCTTCAGGAGGAAAAGTTCCTGGTGATAGAGTATGTTCCTTTTGGGGATCTGCTGACCTGGTTACGCTGTAGAAGGAACAGGGTGAGAAAATGAAGAAAATTCTACAATGTACTTTGAACTAGGGTGTACTGAAGAAAAAAAAAGGAAAATGATTCGCCTCTTTAGAAACGAGAAGGGGCATGCCCGGTTTTCCCCTTTTTCGATTGCAAAATATTAAGTATTTTCGCGTTATTTTCCCCTTCTTTCTCCCGCTTCCCACCCTATTACAGCACTCGCCTCCCGCCCTTTCCTCTTCCGCTTTCCGTACCCCGCCTGCCCCCTATTCTCCTGGGTTCGCACCACACTTGTCCTCCTCAATTTTTAGCTCCGAATTCTCATTTCAGAACGATATGGAGCTAGAAGCTTTAGCTTGGACCCATTTGTTAATAACAAGTACGTTTTGTTGTGTGAACAAAGTATGACGCTATACGTAGCATTACAGTAGCCAAAGCGAGGTGTTTTCACTTTTTGATGTTGCTGAATCTTGCAGATCTACACACGCCAAACCTCCAAGAAGATTTACGACGACAAAGTGGGTTTGAAAGATGACGGAAACGCCAAAAATCAGGTAGAGGTAAACTAAACGCTATGTTCAAATGGTCTTAAAATTGCAGTCAGAAGTTTTAAGCTTATGTGTAACTAAATCTCATTCTTTGATACCAATAAGTAACATGTCCAGGAGGACAATAAAACGGTTTTTGTATACGATAAGCATGGCTTAGCCTGTAGAGTGTCGAGTCAGTGAGTGGCTTAGACAGACCATTGGGGCTTATCATGTTGACAGTGCCATATAAAATCCATTTTCGCGAGCATCTATTCGGATCCTACAGTACCATCATGTACATAATCTAAGAGTATAATAGCGGAGCTCCTTGCGCGCCCGAAGCGCGCGCGAGCGGAGCACCATAACTAAGATAATTTGGTAAACTATCCATCCGAGAAATTTTGGTTATGACGTCAGTTTACGTCCGTCCGTACGGACTTTCCGGGTAGTAGAAAGTAGTCCGCATGGAATCTTGGGGTAGGGGAAAGTAGAGATTTTTCAGCGGGAAATCGCATGGCGCAACGTCGCGCAATTATATCGCGCAACTGGTTTTGAAAAAGAAATTTCAAAGCAACTTAGCAAAAGATTTTTCGACAGAGCCTTTATAACTTTTTATTACAATTTACAAAAGCTATTATGTCAACAAACAACAGCAGAGAAAATTTAGTGTGTAGACGACAGGTTTTAAGCAGAGAGCAAAGACAAGGTGAACGGCAGAGAGCAAGAGTCAACACGCGTAGAGCAAGCGAAGATGATCGCCAAAGAGAGCGCATTAACAGTAGAAGAAGAAGACAAAATTTTAGCGAAGAAAGTCGGCAAGTAGAAAGAGTCAGGTGTACCTTAGTCGGGAAAGATCGAAGCGACTCTGCTAGCAGGGTACAGAAGGTGTTATTACCATTCGAGATGCAGCTCCTATGGCCCCGCGCTATTAACATTTTGTTTTCAAACTGATCTCGGACGCGAAAATTCAGCCACTCATTTAAAAATACAAGAAGGGAAGACAGAGGCTTTTCACTTTTCTCACCATAGTCACGCGTTGATCACGTTCTACGTCCAATTTTTATGCTCTGATTGGTCAAAATTTGACAGGTGAGTTCATGCAGAAAATTTATACAGCATCTTGAAACTTGTTTACTTTGACAGCTGAAGCTGACAGAGTTTTTTGTCAACTTGTGATGTTTTTTACTGTCTTTTTAAAATGAAATACAGCTGCTATCAGCAGTCTTCTGTTATTCATGGCTGGTTTGTTTATTGAATTTTTGGTTGAGAAATGCGCCGCTTGTCAAAGTCAGAAATCCGATTTCGGATGACATCGTTTTCGTTTTTCACCTTGCTGGATGCGGGTTGAAAAGTCCCTCAAGCGATTCTGGCCTTACTTGATAGCTTTCAGGAGCTGCATCTCGAATGGTAAGCCTGAGTAATTATTGTGTTTGTTTTTTGTTTTTTTTTTTAATATCTAATTTCATGAAGTCGAGCTCAGTTTATGGGGCTAGTTTACGCACGTTTGTATTAAGATCTGAGACAATGATCTGACCTAGTATGAGGTTTGATATAAGCTTACAGAACTTTAAAAAACCTCAAGTCGATATTTTCTCTCCGCAAATAGAAAGAAAAAACGTTCCGAAGAGTATTTAGTTATAATTTTGGCTGTAGAAAGAAAGCTTTGAGCGATTTTCTTGCCTCCAGTTCATCTTTGAAAACAGTAAACACCGGGAAGCCGGCTAAAAGCTTTAAGCTAAGCTTAAAGACTCAAGATTTTTAGAGACGCTTTAATACTTGTCTTCGTGAATGAAAATTTTTGTCTCTGTAAATGTTTCACCGAATTATATTTCTTTTATTGATTGTTAGTAGTCTCTTGCAATTTTAATCGGTTTGCCGTTTGTTTTCAGTCGTTCATAAACATCGCTTGCAGGAGTACTCACATTGCCGCGCTTATCAAACGCTTTTTAAGATTACACATCGTTATAAAACCATTAAATAAAAAATGAACACAATAAATTCTTTATTACGTTGAAGCGTAACTCTTTTAATGCTTACTGAAAATTTGGCTCTTGTCAAAAGTGAGACCGGCTGGCCGTATAGGTGATTTTGGAAATTTTTTGAACGGTTTTGCTAAAAGCCCACGCGTGCTTCGATGGTTCTGAATATTGAATGAGTGCAATTTGTCTTGAAAAATTGTGAAATACTGCATTTTGTCTGAGGTCTGTATGATAAAAACAGCGCCTCCGCCATATTACTGTTTCGCCTCAGATGTGATGTATAAAAAGTATGAAATGTTGGTTTACACGCACCCAGATTTGTTGGCAAGATTTTGTTAAGTAAACTTGTCGAACGCCAAAAATTCGGCTTGATTTGTTTTCCAGGCCTAATCTACTGTGATCAAGAGCCATCATGGCTCTTACATGTGATCGAAGATGATTGCTATTTTTTGGGTGTACATATAAGGCTATCAACTCTATGTAAGATTTTTTTGACTCTAAAATCACTTAGCCTTAGCTTTCCCTAAAAAGTCACATATGTGCCCTTAAGTTAACTGTGGATTACAGGTTTATTGTTTGATTTAAATTATGAATTTATTAATGGGAGCTTCGCTTTTAGCCCAGGCTAAATCCCTATATTAGTCACAGCTTACTATGACATGACATTTTCGAGTAATGCATTGGCCAGGGTACATTATCTTATTCCGATGTATCTGTTCATTATTCAAAAATTGGACTTTACAAAACGTAGCTCTGTTAAGGTAATTATGTTCTTAAATCAGGGAGAGCGAATTCGTCTGAATAGGTTGATACAATTGCATAAATTTCGTCCTGAAACTGATCTCTTTACTAACAGAAATTAAAGTGACCTTAGAAGGCCTGACATCCAAGCAATTAATGAGCTTATCAAGTGAGTTTCCAAGCATGTAACAAAGTTATCGTATCATATTTTTTTTCTCTTTGAGGTGCAAGATAAAGAAGAGAAGCAAGTGAGTACGGAATTCACTCCGTTATTACAAGATGACAATGACGACAAGATGGGCAAGATGTTGTGTGAGAATGTAAGAACCAACGGCTTGACCATTTTATAAACTAACCTCAATTTTGCTGTCATTTCCTTCAAAGAGTAAAACTTCTCTCAATGTTTAATTCTGCAGGGGCACCCAACGAGAATATAGTTCAAAATCACTTAAACATGCAATGTTGATCATATTTTAGTATTTAAACGGTAGATATTTATAGGCATATTTTTAAAAACTTTTCATCTGTTCGGATTTCCTAGGTGAAAGTCTAGTGATCCGAAAATTATAGGAATCAAAACTTACCTTTTCGAAAATTTCAGCCCGAAAAAAGGCTCCCGAAAATTCTAGGTGACCTTTTTGGGGTAAAAATCCGTTAAAAATGGGCAATTATACCATTTTTTAAATGTTCGAAAATCCTAGGAGAGGCAGGCAAGCAAGAAATTTTACAACAAATGTTCCGAAATTTCTAGATCTCAAATCGTCTTCCGAACAGATATTTACCAAAAATTGACATTGGGTGCCTCTGATTCAACTCTATAGCCCCATATAAGGGAATCCAAGACGGTCCTGGATTCTGGATTCCAAACCGTGGATTCCAGATTCCAGGCACTGGATTCCAGTAAACGATCTGTCAGTGGAACTTGAATCATAATTGGGATTCCGGATTCCAAAGCCCAGGATTTCGAATTTCTCAAGCACAATTTTCCAAGATTTCGGAGTCCATACGCTAAGAATTCCCCGGATTCCGAATTCTGGAATCCCGATTTCCTTACATGCAGCGAACTCTTCCCCTGCAGGATAAGGGATTCAAAACTATCACCGACGAACAGCCAACAGTCCCTTCCGCGCCAATGGAAAATCAGCACGCCCCCGCCCTGTTAGCCTCAACGGAAAGTTTGGCCGAAGATCTCACTGATGACGAGGTGTCGTTTTCCACCGATCAAAACATCTTTTCATTTGCTCAGGAAATGGCGAAGGGAAAGGTAATAATAGATATATTTATTTACTAGGGTATCTAAAAGATAGTAATGCTGCGGCACATTCTGTCGATACTGGCATTAGTTAGGCAGTTGACTTAAAAGAATCGAAAATGACATTGAATGTCCTATTTACATGTTGGAAAGTACTAGAATAATTACTATCAGTCTATATAAAGAACTCGTGGGAACGTTGTTTAAAAAATGATCAAGTGGTTATCAACTCTGGTTCTCCCACAGTAAATTGTAGGAAATAATAGAAATTCAGATTGTTTATCCATATATTTAATATAGGGTGTACTATCTTTTCTCTGGAAACATGATACTTTTCTTGCTGTTTATTGCACTTTATTAAGTAACAGTTATTTAGCTATATATTTAAAGAAAACAACAACACAAAAAACAGAAAAAAAAAGAAAGAAGGAAAGAAAGAGTTCGGTAGGACTCGAACCCGGCATCATCGGCTCGACGCGACTTACACCTCACCACTACACCACAGAGACTGGTTACATAATTTTTGGAAAAGTCTTTAATTTAATTCCTTTTCCGAGAAACTTCCGCCGGCAAGATGATCGCCAGCCGCATTAATCGAGCTGTTAACGGCAAAAAAACAATGTAAACGCATATTCCATGGTAATGAATGAATGAAAGAACAAAATTATGCTTTTCAAAACGCCGATACACGTCCTCGTCTGCAACGTAGGACACAAAACATATGTTTTGTTATCTCGATTTCCGCTGTTATTTTGAAGCGAATGGTCAAAATCACATCCATTCTCGGATCATGCAGGTTCTTAAGAATAGCATGGCATGACATTTTCTCACTTTCACATCACCTTCTAGCAAGCTGGAATTTGTATATCCCCCGTGTTGCGGAGTCGAAGAGCAAATACTCATCTTCTCGTCAGGTTTGACACCTGGACGAGTTAAAGGCTCTTGAATTGAAATCCAATCCCCAAGTTAACCATCGTACTCATCTGAAAGACTCCTGCGTGTCTTAAATTTGGTAAGACCTCTAACCGTGCTGTAGAAAATTTGCTACAAAGAAAACCCTGAGTCTGGGCAGCGAACGATGCGAACTCCGTGTTTTTGTTCGTGGCGCAATGCACTCTGGTTAAATGCAATGCATTGTGGTAAAAAGTGTGGTTAAATGCAATGCATTGTGGTAAAAAGTGATGAATTCGAGAATTCGTCGCCCCTTATATATTTCCCTTAAATCCTGATTATGTTGCTGCTCGCTCCCTACGGTCGCTTCGCAGCAATTAAAAACTGAATCATTGGATAATGCAATTCTAGCATTTTGATTGGCTTAGCCGTTATGGTATATGAGCTATTATACCATGCTCTCCATATATGGTCGGTGTACGCGTCAGTTTAAAATTGGAAGCTAGCTGAGATTTTTTTCGCGAAGGATAGAACGGCGCCGAAGCAAATCGTGTTAATTCATTTCTTAGAATACTAGAAATGCAATTTCACCGAAAGAAAAAAGACAAAAACAAACAAAAAAGCCACAAGAGCTTGTTTGAACGTTTGTCGAAAAACACATGAAAACACATGGAACTAAAGTACCTTGACCAGCTACGAAAGAAGACAAGTGTTGTTTCCTCATGATCGCGAAGCCATTCGCCGATCGAGTCACTCGCCGACAGATAAGTACGGCTTGTTTATCCAACATCAAGAATATAAATCACAAGTAACCAGCTACAAATACAGGCTATGCAGCCACCCACTAGAGCAATCGAGGCGGCAGTATAGCTTCTTTTCTCGTTCAGCAAAACCAGCTTGTGGGTTCAAACAACCTCATAACAACCGACCGAGGTAATAATTTTACTCCGTTGTTCTTACTTTTATAACTGCACCGAAAATCCAAATTCACAGTAATTTCGACGGCTGTCACTTAAAAATTCTTTTCCTTCACATTATCTGCCAGGTTTTTTTAGCTGTTCTGCTGTGTAAAATCCTAGAATCCAGATGAGTTTTTAAAAAACTAATGTTCATCGCTACAATGTTTTGATTTTTCATGTTACCTGTCGAACCTACTTTTGTTGCTTTTCTTTAGCACTCGCAAACATATGTCCGTGGCCTCTCGTGCCATTCTTTCAAATTTCTTGGAAGAACAGTGAACTCAAAACTACCCACAATACTTTTCGGGATGGTCGCGTGCACTTTTTCCGACAACCTTTCTCGACATAGCTGTATACAACTCTCAAAAGGCCACAGCCGCCCATTACTTAATATTCCATTAATTATAGTAATAAACAAATATACTAGTTCCAATTCTTTTCACGTCATTAGTTATTAGTTGCTGATGTTTATAATAAACATTTTTCCTCAATCTCCATGTCCATTTGACCCATCTGAGACAACAAAACAGTCGTCAAAGGCACTAACTCGTGGCGCAAGATTCTCGCGCGAGCCTCACACGGCTGAGGGGCCTCATTTCAGGACCTTTCGTTTAACCGCACACGCGCGCTTTCCTGATCTACCCAAAAATACAGGTTGTTCTGCATTCTAGACCCTTCTTGAGATGTTTTACTCTTTTTGTGCATTTAGGATACGGGATTGAAAGAGTCGGGAAAAGAACAGTTGAACATGTCAAACAACCCACCCGAGGACAGTCAGCACACTGTCTCGAAGCCGCCTTCAAGTGAAAGTCTCGAGGAAGATCCACATGACGAGGAGGAAAGCTTTTCCACTCAACAGCTCTTTAAATTTGCATGGCAAATAGCGAGGGGGATGGTAGCTACTGTATTTGTTTACATGCTATAATATTTGACTAGAGAGTTCGCCTTTAAAAAAGAACGCTGATTTCAAAGGCCAAATGCATGGGGCATAAATATATTGACAAGTAGAATTTCCCTACCAAAATCTACCTGCCCTCAAGAAAAGTACCAAGTTTTCTGATAAAACCACTTTTGAGCGCAAAACAGCCAAATCTGGCTAAATGCCATAAAATGAAATCGGGTGAAAAAATCGGCAAAAGACGAGTTTTAGGAAATGAGTTTTTTTCTGCAGTTTTGGTATCTTGAAAGCAATCACACGATCTACGAACACTCTGTTTTACGCCCATTTCGGTTCCTTGAGCTCTCGGTTTTCTTTCAGAGTAGCCTACCCTCGATCTTCCCAAATTTTTACTCATTTACAGATATTCCCTTGATGTACTCTCGTGACATGATCGAAGCCGACTTCGAAAACCTCGATCGAAACTCAGGTACCTGGGCGTGACTTTTGAAACACTGAAAATACCAGTAGAACAGAAACGGCGGCGATTGTACGATGGACAACAACTTAAAATGACTGAGAAGCAATTCAACCATCGTCGTACAAAACATTATAGGAAAAATGCAGCTAGGACGCCGGACTTTTCGTATTAAAAATTATTAACGAATTTTAATTCGCTGACCATAGTTAGTAGAGAGAAGACTGGTTATGAAAAAGCCGGCGAATTTCAAAGTTGAAAACAACGGTGCTGTAGTTTATGTTGAAAGCTCCCTGACCGTGCACAATCCCTTGTTTATTTGTGCACAAATTGAGACTGAAAAAGTTAATGAGATTTTTCTATTGGTCAGTTAGTTCAAAATGATAGGAATGCTATTGAACATTGTGCGCGGTCAGGTCCAGAAGGGCTAACAAAAACATATAACAAAGAGTCTAACGCCTTGAGTCTAACGGGTTTCATTACTATTCCACTTTAATAACTATGGCCCAACTAAAGTCACTTTGATTATTTATTCTACAAAATTTCAAAACTCAGGAGCAACAAGTTAAAGACAAAACTGAATATTTCGATCGAATCGCTCGAATTTCATCAGCAATGTAAAAATGCCGGGTTATGTACCAAAAAGGTTGTCATGTTCCCTCAGGAGGGGATAGTACATGGCCGGTAGGTCCAGTCCCTCGTCCCTATTCACGGAGGGTTTTCTTTGTTCGATGGTAATGGGCTCCTTGACTCGGTAAAAACCGTGATGGTGCTATTTTTGTCAGATAGAACTTTAGCGTTGTGTGGGTTGATGTTGTGACCGCCGTTGCTCGGCAGTGTTCGAAAACGGCAAAAGTTTCACGGGATTGGTGTCAGTCTTTGATCCGGGTACAAAGCGATTTTGGAAGAATACTTTATAATAATTTTGCCCTGTATATTTAAGAGTTGGTGTCTGAACTGACGGCTAACTGGCTGTTGATCATGGACATAAACTCTTCCTTGAATTAGTTATCTGTTATTATGCGATGCTAAAATTTGATTTCCCTTTCTCTACCTCTATAACTAGAATCATCTTGCCGAAAAAAATCTTGTTCATAGAGACCTTGCAGCTCGTAACGTCCTTGTTGGCCATGACAATCGGGTGAAAGTTTCTGACTTTGGGTTGATGCGACAAATCTATGAAGATGTGAAGGAGTCAGAAAAGCCCAAGAAACTTCCTGTCAAATGGATGGCTCCAGAATCGCTTTATCGAGGCACCTTTACCATCAAGAGCGATGTGTGAGCAGAATAAGACTTTCAATTTAACGCTAGACTATAGATCTCATCGTATGAGTCTCGTATGGATTAACTTACTTTTCATAGTCTTTTCCGAACTGACCTTTTCATCCCCGACGACGTATACGTAATTTTTTCGCAGAATATCTCTGTAAGTTCTCGAACGCCATCTCATTATAGCAAAGTTTGAGTTCAAATTTTGCCAACTGATTTATATTAGTAGGATTTTGCTGGCCTCTGTAAAACTAACCTAGAAAAGGCAAAGCGTGAATGCCCTTCCACAAAATCTTCTTAGCCTTGACCGTCTGACTATATCGCTCTGTAACCATTTTGGTTGTTTTCTTTCATAGCTGGTCCTACGGCGTACTTCTGTGGGAAATGGCCACATTGGGTATGCATACTTAGAGATTTATTTACTTTAATTACAACTGCTTGCTTACTTTTCCTCGTTTCTGATAAAAAAAACACTGACTCATATAATTTTTTTGGCCCAGGCCCCAGTTATTCATTCCCAGATGCCGTCTTCTCTAGCTCTCGTGCGTTTACTATCCCTTAGGAAAAATGGGGGACTACTCGTAGTCTAGGGTTGCCCCAACCCACTGATTCAAAGCGAGGCTAAGTGTGAAGCCATTGATATGAAAATGAGTTTTTTTACTTTCATGCAAAGGTAACTCATTATCACAAGAAAGGTTTTGCACAGGTTTTGAAAGTGAGGGTTTTTGTAACTCAGAAATGGCCTATCCTGAGGGACTCTGCAGTCTTAGACCTGAACAAATAACGTGAAAATGATTGTCAAACTTACTGCCCAGCTTTTTCTGAATAACCGATTTTCTTCTTCTGTTGGATCCAGGAGGCGTACCATACCCTACGCTGACCAACACAGAGCTGTATCGCCTGCTCAACTCTGGATACCGAATGGAAAAACCTGACATGAGCTCCGATGAAGTGTAAGTTAATCGCTCCAGTGATTTTAGCATATGTTATCATGGCAGAATTATAGACAGGACAAAATTTTACTTTAAAAAGATCTTAGTACGACATTGCCCTTTGAATACGAACAGTTGGTTCCCATGGTCAAGATATCCTATTCTCCGTACTCGCTCCGGGGCATGAAAAGGAAACTCGGACCATGTGAACGAGGCTGTGGAGTTCGGCCACTGATGGTCACTGATGATGTATATGGCTTGCTCCGCAAGCGAACAAAACGAAGCAACTCCCGTGGGAAAGGAATTGCCCGCTTTCTTTTCAGAAGAAAAACAACCCCCTTTAGTCGCTTTCTTGTGGAACAACGCAGACTCCTATCTTTTTCAGTTAGTGGTGATGGGCCCATTAGCCTTTTCCCTCTTCAAGCCTCCATTTGCGTGTGCGCCTGACCATTTCTTTTCTCTAACTGCTGCTGTTGTGCCGAACAAGGTTGTCCAAAAATGCTTGAATGTACCATATATCCATTTTTAAGGATAATGACCCAAAAACCAAGAAGTGAGTTGACAAATTAGGATCTCAGGATTAGTTCTATGACAGACTTTAAAGTGTTTAAATACAACACCAGTTTAGCTTTCTTCAGCTCCATGTACTCTAATAGACCTCTGAAATGTCTTAAACAACTCAATGTGGTTGATTCTGTGCTGAAAGTTTGTATAGTTACCATCTCTGACCATTTCTCATCCAGCCACAGTCTTTACCTCTCAATTTCTCTTCGATTACCGCTGAATGGCATGGGTTGTTTTTTGCAGTACGTCCCTAGGCCTTATTAGGGAGCTTAAGCAGCAGCATTTTTGAGCGACGGACGTCAACTGGAAGTGGACTTTTTGCATTATTGGGCAGTGGTTTGGTTCAAACTCTCCAGTAAACCGTCATTATAAGAGAAAAAGACCTTAGCAATTCAGATTTGTTAGCCTCAAGGCATATAAAAAGGGACGGAAGGCCTCACTTCTTGTTGACGTGAGTTGCTCAAAAACGTTGCTCAAAAACGTCTTTGCTCAAGCTCCCTATTATTGCGCCAGGCCGATGCGTTTCGGGTCAAGTGGTCCGAAAGAGTTTTTCTCGGATACGTCGCCGAAATGCATTGACCGATATAGGACTGGAAAGACACTGCACAGGGACTGGGCAAGGTTGTTGTATTTCCTAAACCAAAACATGACCACTAAGTACCTTATATGAAGGAATTATAATCGGTTTGTTTTTAACTGTCTCCGACAGATATGAGTTGATGACAGACTGCTGGAAGGAAGACCCAAGAGCTCGACCCAGTTTCTACCAGATGATAGAAAAACTGGAGATCATCATGCAGAAGGATGCACCATATTTGGATGTAAACAAGCATAATGAAGCCCTTCCATACTATAATGTGCCTCCACATCTGGAGTAACTGCTAATGAAGAACGCTAAGTTGGGCCGGCGGTTTCCAATTAAGCTCAACATTTTATTAACTCGTCAACGGAGATTCCCGTTTTAAAGTGGCCCCCTGATTAAACTTAACCGTACAGTAAAGAGCGAAATTAAGCAATTTATGAGCTAAGAGTTTGTCTAACAAAAAAAAATAAATGCAAAGTATTATGTCAGTTATGTGAAAATTTCAACGTTTACAGTTCTGATCTTATGGCGATGATTATATATCATCAAGAGAGGATAGAGCTTTATCCTCTCTAGATATCACGTATGCATATGAGTTCTACAACCCTGGTCAAAACTCTTGGGACACTAACGCAATAGCTCGTCAAATTGAGGCATCTTCCCTCCCCCCCTTCCCCCTCGGTGCAGTGTTGACGTTATGTATTCAAGTTTTAGTTCAACACAATTGTAGTGTATCGAGCGACTAAACAGCTTAAATACTCTCACGGAACACAACGAGTCAACAAGCACATGGTTCGGACTAACAGAACGGAACAACACGACAGGGGTCATGTGACCCCTAACAAGTTCCCAGGACCGCACATTCCTCCCCCTCAAGTTCCTAAACAATATGTGGCATCTCGCCTTGAACTAAATGTTCATGGGGACAGGAGGGGTCGATCAGTAATAACGCTGTGGTGGTCTTCGGTCCCTTACTGGATATCGTCGCACCGGGGTGGCAGGGACTAAGCTTGGGTCTTCGGGTGTAGTGGGTGGCTCCAACTCCCCACAGGTTACTGCAGGGCTATTCACATCGGGTACTGCAACCTCCGGAACAACACTTCCCTCTTTGCTATGGTCTGCCCTTTGAGCTGTTGGACTGGGGCAAAGAGGCTCTGTAGTACGAGAAATTAATTGGTCATGATGTCTCCAAACTACCATTCCATCTTCTAGTTCAACTCGCGCAGACAGAGGGCCGGTTTCCTGGATGATAGTTCCAGGGACCCACTTCGACCCCTGGGAGTAGTTTCTGACGCTCACGGCATCACCAAGGTTCACTCCTCGCTTTCGGCTATGCTGATCATGCTGTTTCTTTTGTCTAGACGGAGCCAAATGCACCCTTGTCGCTACATCCGGTCGCAGTAGATCGAGGTGAGACCTAAGACTACGTCCCCACCGTAACTGAGCTGGAGATTCACCTGTGGTGCTTTGCGGGGTAATCCGGTAGCTTAGAAGAAAACGAGCCAACTTGGTGTCAACAGAACCGTCACCCTGTTTCTTCATCCCTTGCTTAAAGGTCTGTACCGCTCGCTCAACCAGACCATTTGTACTTGGGTGGCAAGGTGCAGAGGTAATGTGCTTGATGCCATTTTTTTGCAAAAATGACTTAAATTCACTGCTCACAAAATTGGATCCATTATCGGACACTACAATCTCTGGTAAACCATGTGAAGCGAAAGTTGACCTCATCTTGTCTATGGTCACACTGGAGGTGGCAGAGTTCACACAGTGGATATCCATCCACTTGGAATGAGCGTCAATGATCAGCAAGAACATCTTTCCCATGAAAGGTCCCGCATAATCTACGTGCACTCGCGACCAAGGGCGGCCCGGCCATTCCCATGGGTGTAATGGCGAACAGGGAGGGGTCTTTTGGTGGCTCTTTTGGTAGCACAACTTTTCACCTTCTCTTCTAAATTTGTGTCCATTTTTGGCCACCATACATAGCTCCTGGCTAAACTCTTCATTTTGCCTATTCCCGGGTGATTATCGTGTAATATGTTCAACACCTCTTCCCTCCCTTGAGGGGGTACTATGACCCGAGCTCCCCATAAGAGGCAGCCAGCATGTACACTCAATTCTTCTCTTCTAATAAAATAGGGCTTCAGGGCTTCTTCTTCTACCTCTGAAGGCCACCCTTGAAGAACAAACTGTAGAACTTGGGAAAGCACTGAATCGCGAGCTGTCCACAATTTTATCTTAGTAGCATCTACTGGGCTGGTGTTGATAGTTTCTAGGAGGTGTAAAATGTCCCCTGGGACGGGTGTGGACCCCGGGACATCCAAAACGGGTAGGCGACTGAGTCCATCCGCATTACTATTCTCATTTCCTGGGCGATACAGCAGTTCACACTCATAAGCTAGCAAAGTCAATGCCCACCTCTGCATTCTGCTTGAGGCCATTAAAGGCGTGACTTTTTTAGGGTGTAGCAGCCCCAAAAGTGGTTTGTGATCTGTGTAAATCTTAAAATGGCGACCATACAGAAATTGGTGGAACTTTTTCACAGCAAAAACTACGGCTAGTGCTTCTTTATCTAGGTGGCCGAAGTTCCTTTCTGCCGTAGAGAGTGTACGCGAGGCGTATGCCACAGGTCTCTCTGATCCATTTTCCATAACATGAGATAGAACTGCGCCAACACCGTCTCGAGCCAGTTCCTACCTAGCAAAGCAGGCCCCTTGCCGCCTACAACCAAAAGCGGCAGGGAGTATTCAACCCCGTCATAACACACATTCACAGAACAAGACAACCTCGTTCCCAGGGTTCTCTCCTACCCGCCCTACGGAGCGAGAGAGAGAGAGAGACCCTGGAAAACGCTTGTCACGTGGCTCAAGAACAAAATTATTTCTGAGGGAGGAGTCCTTTGTCTCACATTTTTTTTGTCTGGTTTATTCGCAACGTTCACGCAGTGATCGCAACAGCAAGATAGATTTGATAACCCTACTACAACTACAACTGAAACTAAAGGAAATTTCTGCTTAAACAAAACTATCAGATAAACAAGTGAATTACCGGAGAAGGAATCAAAACCTCGCGTTGTCGCCGGCTTAACCGATGACACCACAGGTAGCCCAAGCTCACTATGAGAGCCCTGAACAACATTATCCTACTCAGCTAATTAATTATTCATACAGCAAGAAAATTATAAGACGTTGTATGGAGAAATATTCTTTGCTCACTAAATTAGCAAAATGTACATTGAATATCGCTTTGAAGCTTACCTTTAGCGTCTTCTTGTTTTTCTTTGTATTCTGACTCCATTTCAGACCTCCTAGGCACTTTTTAAGGCCTTTTTTGGAGCGACAGTTTTTCACCCAAATGACAGTAGAGAGAAAAGAAGAGAAGGTTGGCAAACCTCTCTTGACCGGCTCCGCTCTCGGCGACGATAAATTGCGTGACATTTGCGACATGGAGACAATTCCGCCAGAAAGAGATGTCCTGATAAATAACGCACATTTTCCATCATTCACATCGCCAAAATTCCCATTTCGAAGGTCCTAAATCGCCAACGAAGTGGGCAATACACGGCTGAGGTTAGGAGAGTCGAGAGCAGACCCGCAACGGACTCCAACCGTCAAGTCGATAATTTCAAACCGACGCGGGCTGGCAGGGTCAAATTGTTCAACCGTCAAAGGACAATTGGAGCATTTAGCCTGCTGGGCACAGTAATTGATTTTTCACTTCTCACATTGCACTCCGGGGTCGCGGAAGTCTAGCATCGCGTATGATAGTGACATGTAATATCAAAACATGTCGCGTTGTTGCATTTGGTTGATCTCTACTCTTCTTTTTAAAAAGCGTTTGACAATGGTTTTTTATGTATGATTTAGGAAAAAATATTG